GGCAGCACTAAAATACACTATATAATTTGTCATTTACCTTTTCATGGGCTTCTTCCTTCAAAAATATTCTAGTTTCTAAGACATACATACAAAACTACTTCCAGGACCTTTCTCCATCCCTTTAATATACATTTAAGCAGATTAAGATGTCCTAATCCAGAGCTATCTTTGTAGTTAATTTCAAATCTTCAAAGGAAGTTATGTAGGAATGAGAACATCAACGGCCACAATGGCAGGTACAAGAATAGGAAAATGAACAAACTCATAAAAATTAATATAGAATTAAGAAGCTAGTCAAATTACCTGACTGAATGAAGTGTAAGCAAAGAACTTCCAGGGGATAACTCATGTTAGGATAGACAATCATCATTTCTTTACAGGCCTTCTTCATTCTAGAAGACTCATGAGGAAACTTTTAATAGAAATAGAAAAACAATTAGCAAAATAGGTAAGGGGTCAACATGCACTTTTAGATTTCAGTTTAGATTTAGATTTCTTACTTTTGATAAACTCTGAAGGAATTCTCTGTAAAGCTTTTTGTGCTCTTCACCTGGAACTGGTTCTGAAGAATTGATTGCCTCTTCAAACGCATTAAGGAACTGAAAAAAACAATGTAAACATTCTAAGATGAAATAACAAAGCAAAAAACTAGCAAACTTTTAACTTATGGTGGCATAGTGACACTAATATTCAGCGCTTATGAGTTTTACTTGGGCTTAATGTATTATGCAAGGCCACCCATTATTAATTTTCATTTATTTTCTACTATGGTGTATTCAAAATTCTAACTTACTGTTATGTACGCCTATCATCTGAAAATCATTTAATCCTATTCCAACAATAGTTAGGAAATAAAAATTAAAGCCAATATTTATCAGTAGTTGGATTATTATTTCTGATCTTTTTTTTAGTATAAAGGTATCAATGGGTGGCTAGATCTTTAAGGAGAAAGAAATGAAAAAGTTGGCAGTTATTTCCTTGCCAATCACTTCTTTCCTCAAAATAATCCACTCCCACCTCAATATCCATAGGGGGAAAAGCTTTAAAAAAAGCAAGCAGAGAAATAGTTAGGACACATTTTATTTCAAGCCATCATATTTCAGCTTTCCTTTACGAATTTCTTTAGGCAAACAGTGCTTTTCTCTGTTCATCCTTAACCAGATTTAGCCAACATTGTCAATGACAAAATAGGAGTTGCAATGCAACAATATTTTGAGGGCCACATGTTGCTACCCCTCCTTCATTTATTTTTCAGACTACCCATCTCACTCACAGAGCAATTCTTTTAAGAAAGCTTTAAAGAAAATTGTCAGGAATCAGAAGTATATTTTTTACTTTATTGATATTTTTTTAATCTTTTTATCATTAAAAACAATTACAAAGTGGGGTATAATGATTAACTATTAAACCAACTGTTAATGCATTAATGATTAAAATATTAATAAATTCAGCAAAACATGTCAAAAAAAATAAAAATAAAATATCTTTTTTACAAGCAAGATCAACAGACAAGTAGCTCAGTTTAGACCAGGGGTGTCAAACTGCCGGCCTGCGGGCCGGACGTGTCACGTAGAAGCCACGCCCACCCCATTGCTGGCAATGGCAAAACCGGCCCGATACGTTGCGCAACGTCATGTGACGTCGCAAGTTTGACATGCCTGGTTTAGACAATTTGACAGTGGGTAAAGGAAGCTGACACACCAGCAAGTTCCTCATCTACAAATTGGAGGTTTTCCTTCCAATTGGCCAAGATATGTGTCACAGTTTTACACAGATTAAACAATCATCAGAATTCACCTGTTTCAAGTAGGCCCCCTGCTAACATCTGAGGACACAGAGACGTGTACATATTTGTATGTATACATTCATTTATCATTAGACCCTGGTTCAAACAAGAAAACTAACAGATCTCAAACCGATTCTTCTGCTTTGCAGGCAGCAGTCTTTTTACAGAAGAGCTAGTCAGAGGATTTACTAGTAAGTCAGAATTCAGAACTATACTTATTTACA